ATAGAAAAACAAGAAGCTGACAAAAAAAGAGACAAACTGATCCAGGAACAGGAAAGAAGAGTTCGAGAGCTTAGCGATACAGTCAAATGCAACAATATCCGTATCCTAGGAATCCCAGAAGAGGAAGAGAGAGGGAAAGGGGCTGAAGGAGTCCTGGAACAAATTATAGCAGAGAACTTCCCCGACCTGGGGAAGGAAGTAAACGTTGAAATACAGGAGGCTCAGAGGACTCCCCTCAGACGTAACTTGAATCGATCTTCTGCACAGCATATCATCGTAAAAATGGCAAAATACAAGGACAAAGAGAGAATTTTGAAAGCAGCTAGGGAGAAAAGGGCCCTAACATACAAAGGGAAACCTATCAGAGTGGTGACAGACCTATCTACTGAAACGTGGCAGGCCAGAAAGGAATGGCAGGAGATATCCTTATAAAACTAGGATAACAATAGCTCCTGATTTGTAGGGTTATCTTAACAAAAAATTAATAATGTTACCAAAGTATTTTGTTGGAACAAATAAGTGAAAAATTAATGGTAGTTTTTCTAATGAAGAGCCGTGTTCTATGTTAACTACACGTATGACTTTAAGGTCATTTGAATTAACAAGGCAAGGGAAGACTAGGGGGCAATCATGGGAATCTAGTATGTCACCATTTTTTTCCTCCATCCCCCTAAAGATGAACCAGTACATGCTATTAGTTCAAGACCCCAAATTCAACATGGTTTAGGTGGAGAGGGTTTTTCCTTCTTATATTTTGAGATGGTGTGGTAATAATTCCAGAGGCTTCCACTCACAGATAAGTTCCCACTGTGGATTCAATACACAAAATACAATATACATTATTTAACTTAGAATACTGCAAAGTGGGGACGCCTGGGTGGCTTAGTCGGTTAAGCGTCCGACTTTCGCTTAGGTCATGATCTCGCGGTACGTGGGTTCGAGCCCCGCATCGGGCTCTGTGCTGACTGCCAGCTCAGAGCCTGGGGCCTATTTCGGAGTCTGTATCTCCCTCTCTCTCTGACCCTCCCCTGCTCACGCTGTCTGTCTCTCTCTCTCCTAGAAATAAATAAAAAATAAAAAATAAAAAAATAAAAAGAATACTGCAAAGTGTACATTGTTTATAACTCAACCATATGAAAGTCTACGGCTATTTTCCACAGGACTGATTTTGGCATCTTTTCCCCAAATTAAATTATAAGCGGAAGGAAAAGACCATGGACACGGTTAAGAACATTCGTGGTTGGCCCAATACTAAACCCAGAGTCTACTTGAATTAGTTATTACAGAAATAAATTGAATCAAGATCTCTTCTTCCCAGCCATAATCCAAATATCTCTTTGCAAATAGGTAAATTTCTCGATTTCAGTAACTTTTAGTGAGAGGAAGTCAAAAGGAAACATAATTTTTGAATGTGTGGTGATTTTGTTTTTGTTTTTTAATTCTAAGGAGAATAAAATTTTCTTTTTTTATAGCTGATGTGCAGAAAAGTCAAAATGCCATTCTGCTAAAAGGGGTATGTTTTGACCTTGCTTGTAAATGATTTGCAAGCATATATAATGCATATATGTCCTGCCTTTTCCTGGGGAAAAAAAAATGCTCTAAGGCCCAGGTGATGATAAAGCCCAGAACATTCTGCTGTCACAGTGCTTTTCTTTTGCTTAACATGTCTGGGAATGTTATCTATACCACACTGAAGTTCCCTAAATCTGCCAAGTTCTAAACTATATAAAATGGGGACACTCTGCAGAAGTAAGAACAATTGGCAGTGGAGGAGAAGAAATGGAAACAAAGAAGA